AATTTCCCCCCCCCCCCCCCCCCCCCGAAAAATTGATTTTTTAACCGTTATTTCACTATTTCAGCCGTCATATTTGACTTCTTTTTTCATAGGTGGACCAAACTTTTCTCCTAACGGTCAAAAAATCAATTCTGAAAATTACTCCGAAACAGGCTCAATTCTTCCATGAGAACCAATTTTGTCATGAGCTTTAAACGTTGCATTAAAACCATCCACCATACGGAATGGTCGGTTAAAATCAAATTGGCATAAGAAATTCCATATAACCCGACGCATCTTGTACGAGACACAGAATTCTAATAGGGAGAATCACTCGATCGCTAGAAAGAAGCAATCAACATATCATAAGATTCTCATTCTTAAAAATCCACACTTTTTCAAACCCAAAAAAGGGACGAAAATCTAGGATTCCTCCAATAAGCTACTCATGAATACAATAAATGCTCATCAGTGACAAAATCACAAACCAAAACCTAAATGATTGTGTTCGTCATCATATGGACATCAGAAGTAATCCAATGATCGACCTATTGATCTTTGTTTTAATAAGACTAAGCTCTAGTCATTCAATTCATCGAATATTTATAAACCCAACATTGTTAAGAAATTATTCGAGTTGAATATTTAATTCGACTAAATAACAAAAGCTTATGGAGTTCTAATCTAATATAAATATGATCTAGATTTCCTGGGAAGAGTAGTTCTTTAAATATATATTTTTGAACTATTAAATATTATATTAATTGTACAACAAACAAGTCTGGGTGGTGTAGTTGGTTATCACGCTAGTCTCACACACTAGAGGTCCCCGGTTCGAACCCGGGCTCAGACATTTTTTTTTTCTTTTTTTCCTCTTGCAATACCTTCTTTTTTCTTCGAGGCAAAGAAACCCATGTCCGTTTTGCTCATCCTCTCTCTGACCTCATATGATTTTAAGCCCCATGTTCATCATAATGCTCAAAAGAGGAGAACCAATTCCATGATCAAATCAAGAACTTTTTTTTTTTTTTCCGTTGAATTCGATAAAATATGAAAACGGATTTAATTAAAAATCTCCATGTTAAGGATTTCATGGATCTTATATTTCATAAATTGATAATGTTTTAATATCGTAAAGTTAATACTTAATAATTAATATTAGAATAATGCTACTTGTAAACAATAGAATTAAATAGTAATTTACATACAGATGAAATGTCAAAAATAGAGTGGAGAATTTCCTTTTTTTTATTATGCTAAAGTTGATAGTGGGCACATGATTTGTTTGACTACAAAATTTTAATAATTTATAAAAGAAATAGAACGTATAATTTGACACTTCCAATTCATAAAGAAAGAAATAATGAAAATTTTGTATTTTGACGTGAAATATATTGAGCTATCGTAGGTCAAATCTAAACCCTTCGAATTGTGATTTAAGTTCTCAAGGAAAATATAATTCAGAATGTTTCAATTACTAGCTATAAAAACTGAATTTCAAGGGCAGACCCAGACAGTTTGAACTATGAGTCGAAAATGAATTTTTTTTTCAAACAACGTATCATTAACGAAAATAAGACCATATACAACTACAATAGGATTTAGATTTGAACTTTTTGGGCATTGGACTAGAGAAATTAATTGGATTGACTCACTACTTTAGCAGAAAATTACGTTTTAAGCAAGGAAAAAAAAATTCAAAAAACTGTGAGGTCATTTGACCCCACATGAACCCATGTGGGTCCACCAATGCTGAATTCTCAATATTTGTGTAAAATATGTCCGTTTCATGTCTAATCTCCCTATCCAGGGGACCTTTCACCTAAATGTAACGCCCGTAGCCGTCTGAAGTAACAAAAATATAACGAAACTAAGGTTTACATTAACAAATAATTCATATTATTAGAATTATAATTGAACAAAAACAAATACCCGTGAACAAAGGAGTAGACATGCTATAATTATATGAAATGTTATGCTTCCATATCTTGGAGGTACGTGCAAGCTTGTATTTCTTCACATACCGGATTGTCTTGGCATGACCAGAACTAAAATTTCCGGGCATAAAGCTCACAGGTAAGTATATCGTCCATCGAAGTTGCTGATCTCCCAGCACCCAAAACTGGAACAAGGTTGAAAATCGACCCTTCACTGATGTTAATTCTACGGCTCATTTGGCCAAACTCGTTGAATGCACTGGTAAAGATTGTTGACAGTGTTTCATGAGAGATTTGAATATTTGTTGAGAAATAGATTCTCAGTGTCTGCAAGCAGAAAGTGAAGAATGTGAGTTAACAAAACCAGAAATGCCAATGGCATATGGAAACCGAATAGAAGAAAACATGAAGAATAAAGGCCTAATCATGTCAATATCCAAGAACGAAGAATCTAAATTTCACTTGTGAAGCATTTGGATTCGAGAACTATGTTATATGACATTTTTATATATTTTGAAAAGGTGTGTTTTTTATAGTCACTGACTAAATCAATCGAGCAATTTCTTATTGCGATAAGCAAATTCATTCGATATCCTCTCCACCTGGAAATGATATCTTGTTAGGAAAAGGTACTGATTTTAGGCCTATAGCTAAGTTCTCTATCTAATCGATGGATTTGACTTTCATACAAGCTCAAGTTCATCCTCAAAAACAAATCCATTAATCCAGATACAATATTATTTGACCCAATCATGAAAACAACCACTGAACCCTGTTTTCTATTAAAGAGTGGCAGTTGATATGGCTCTTCTATCACTTTCAATCACAGAAATGGCAAGGAAAAAAAAAACATTTTCTAGAATGGTAGCAGCTTGTCATGGACTGCAAGGTCGTAAGTTGAGGCTTGGCACGACACTAAGTGGGAAAATGAGATAGACCTATGGCAAATTAGGTCCAAGCTTCCGCGGTACATGTCGATGAGGACATCGCCAAATTTGGTGGGGGAGTGACTTATGTCTCCCACGGTCGCGGCCGATACGTCCAGGTTGCGACAGAAGAATTCGGGTAACGCAGGCAGTGCATTACAGTTGGAGGGAAGTACCTGCGGTAGGGGACGTAGATAGGGAAAACACAAGCACTATGGCAGGAGATGCAAGCCGAACTTCCATAGGGGACGCAGGCAGAACCAACAGGAACCTGCGGCAAGGGACGCAGTAGGATCAAGACAAGCACTGCGGCAAGGGACGCAACCAGGATCAAGACAGACACTATGGCAGGGGAACGCAGGCAGGCAAAACTCAAGCAGACTGCAAGCATTGCGGCAGGAGACACAACAGCAATACAGGCAGACTGCATCAGGAAGCGCAATAGCAATCCAAGCAGATTGTGTTAGCAGACGCAAGCGAATGTCGACGGGGGACACAAGGACGGAAGTCAAGTTTTCCAAGGTGGAAAGGGAAAGCAATACCGTAGACTATGGCCGGTGGTTTTAGATGCAAGTGTGTGCCAACTTGTACCAATTGAGCAACTTGCATAAGGAGACCAACATGTAACTTGACAACTTACGTGAGAAAATAAAGTCCAACTTAACCACCATAATGGAGACATTACCACTTGCACATATGAGTTGTAGAGATTGTCCACTTGCATGGAAAGTGACATGACAAGTAGCATAGAGGTGGAAATGGATAAGATAAAATGCAATATGACAAATTGCAAGTGTAGAGACATGCAACTTACAATGCAGCAAATTCCAACTTGATTACCTTGTGGTTTAAGGAGGAGGAAGACAACTTGCAACCAATGAGAACCCTTGGATGAAGATTAATTCTAGCCATTGATGCCAACTTGGACATCATGAGTTTGCCTATAAATAGAGATGCTTGGTCATTTGTAATTCCCATGGAATGAAATGAAAGAAGGAGAAATAGAGAGTTGAAATAAAATTCCAATGGATGGAATGAGAGTAAAGTGAGATAGAGTGATATCTTTGTAAAGAGAAAACATAAGTAAATCTATTAATAGTTTTATCTTATATTTATACAAAAAAGTTTTCCCCAAATATATGTGTGCCCTTTTCTTCCTAATTTCCTATCTACTATCTCTACATAATTTAACCACATTGGTTAAATTATCATGGGGGCATAAGGCTGACTTCACACTATCTCATGGGGGCTAGAGTTGTAGAGCGTTGAGGCTGCACGATTCTAACATGGTTCGGGAGTGACAAAACTAGGCCTGTGACAAGCTGCCCCAAATAAATTTGGCTTCTCAAAAATGTCTTTTGCCAAATTTTTTTTACCATTTTTATTACTATCCAGAGGAGGTTCTACTTGACCGGGAGAAATGATGGAATGGACTTCAGGTAAACTTTAGAATTTTTTTTTATTTTTTTATTTTATTTTATTCAAGAAATGCCCATTAACAAGGTAATTTTTCCAGTGTTATACTATTCCTCATTCAGAGTTTCTAACAATCTAACTGATTCAAGTAATATATTGACAATTCTCTTCTAGTTTCTAGACCTACATCATTTTCTCTCTCAGTAAGTTGCTCATTAAAACAAGTACATGTCTGGCAAATGTCATAAAACACTAAACCATCATCATGTTGAAGACTTGTCAGTTCACAATGGACTAAATTAACGTGTCCGATGTGAAGGTTCTTTCTCGTAGATTCTCACACCAATGCACTCAACCGATAAGTCAATGCTCCACGCAGAAAGGAAATACCTTCCTCCTTTAGATTGTTGGTCTGTTCACTAGGACAACCATTTCCATCTTCTTTTGATGAGATTTAGAGCTCAGAATCTTCTACGAATTGCATTAGAATGAAAATATTTATAGTTACTCGGTACACTTAATTTTCTATTAAAACTTTGACTAATTGACCAAAATAACTTCTAGCCTTAAACCATCCATAAAATTCAACGAGCTTGACAAAGACTATTAGAATTAGATTGTAACTAGAATTCTAATGATTATTTTGATTGGAAATATTGTTGAAGCAGTATTGGAGTTGGTAGACTTGAAGTCTTAAAGGAGTTCAAAAAGGATAATGAGAATGATTCCCTTTTTAGAAGTTTTTTTACTTCTATTTCATTCCAAATATTCCATTATTGATTTTACCCATTGTATTGGGACTACACCTATATTAAGTTCTTCATGTATTAATTCTTCTAATATATTAGAGATTTTTGTATTATAAATATGTGAGACATTACACATTTATTTGATTGACTTTGAGAGTCATCCAGAGAGACTCAACATAACAATTAAATCATTGTTGTATACACTAAAAACTTGAGAGGATTGTTTAGATTTAGATTCAGAGAATTAAATCTTGTAAAGACAATTTTAATAGCTTGGTATAATAAATTCTCATCTTCTTCCACAAAAATCTTGTTTGTTGTGTGATCCATTATTTTCGTATTGCTCATGTTATTCTTGTCTTTATTATTTAGTCCGATTCAAACAAGTGGTATCAGAGCTGAAGGTTTTTTAGCGGGTTCTTGGGAGGTCTAAATTGGAGCTAGAATTAAACGAGGTAATTCAAGCAAAGTTGGCGTGCAAGGTAATTCTGCTGATAAGCAGAGTATGGATTTAGTTCACAGTAGCTGACCATGGCCAGTAGGAACATGGTGGAAGAGATGGGAAGTAATTTGTTTGGAGTGTTCTACATGAAGAATTATTTTTAGAGTTTATTGAAGAGTTAAGTTTGATTCCTTGTAGTGAAATTCGCGTCAAGGTGGAGTATGTTAGAATTAAAGTAGGACTCGAATTCTAATGAGTATTTTGATTGGACATAATGTAGAAATAGTATTGGAAATTAGTAGTAGACTTGAAGAAATCTTGAAAGAATTCAAGAAGGATAATGAGAATGATTCCCCTTTTTAGCAATTTTCCTTACTTTTATTTCATTCCAAATATTACACTATTGATTTAACCCATTATATTGGGACTTCACCTTATATTAAACTCTTCGTATATTAATTCTTCTAGTATGTTGGTACTCTTGTATTATAAATATGTGAGGCATTTGATGGATCCCTATCTGATTCACATGGATGTTGCCACGTCATTTGTTATTCTAGAATGTTCATTAGTCGGTTAGAGGAAAACTCTATAAATAAGATGGGGAGGAGAATTAGATAGGTATTCAATGAATTTTGTTTAGAAAAGTGGGGAGAGAACCAAGGCCTCTCGAATGCCTGGGAATTTGTCATTTACATCCTTGTTCTTCATTGCATAATAATTGTTCTTACAATATTCAATTCAATACATATATCCATTTCACCAATACCCTTCTCAATTTCCTTTACATTCCAGCTAATACATCTACTATCTAACCAAACCATTAATTAGTAGCTTTATAGGTCCAGAACAAATTCATCAGCAACTTCCCAGGTTCCTATCAAATTGGTATCAGAGCCGTCGATTCTCAGACAAATGGAATTAGACTTCAGAAGCGAGTGGAAGAAGAAATTGAGTTCAATATTCAATCGGTGGGAGACGATAATAATGCAACGAGAAAGAGATCGGGAAAATGATTCGGGACTGGATTCATGTGGCCGACTAAAAATTTCAATATTTTATGGCGAAAACACAAACGAGTAGGTTTCGAAGGCAGAAAAGATTTTCTCCATAAATCAATTATTAGAGGCGGAAAAAATAGAGGTTACAATAGCATGTTTTGATGGGAAAACAGGGAATTGGTTTCAGGAGATCAATCGACGACCAGTGCAAACATGGAGAGAATTAAAAAAATTGATCTTGAATCAATTTAGCACGAGTAAGGTCTCCAATGGCGGTGAATTTTCAGCTTGGAAGTAGGGTGATAGGTTGAATCGACAAACAGAGAATGGAAAGCTGGAGACAGAACAGTTGGCACCAAAGGATGAATGTGAAAGGAAAGGAAAGGACAGGATGCTACTTTGCCGGAAACTACCCGCACATCTAAATTGCCACCTTAATCTGATGAAATTTGGGTAAATAAAAGCATCCTTGAAATCTTACCATTATCATCGCCAGAGGAGGAGGAGAGATCGAAGCAGGTTTTGGAGGAAGCCTATGTAAAAATTGTTAAAAGCAAGAGATTTGGACTAGGGAAAGGAAAGAACCGAAAGGATTAAAAAACAAGAAAGAGATGAAGCAGGCCCATTTTAACTTTGGCCCATATAGATCTAAAATTAATATAGATAACCCAAGGCCACAATTCCCTTATTTCCCTGTCCACACACGTAAGCCAGCTCTCGAGACACCACATCCAACCAACCCGATCAACACCAAAGCCACGGCCACCTCCGGTTTCCGTTGGGCAACAACAATTAAAGGGGCTACTATGTTTAAGAAATTAATTGATGAGCCACTAATAAACAGAGACAAGGGGCTGTGCTTTTTTAATGATGAGAATTGCACACAAAATTACAGATGCCGCAATACTGAGCTGCAGGTATTGTTGGTTATCGATAATGGGAGGAAGTAGGACTCGTAGAGGTGGAAGGAGATGATCAATTAGAGGTTTTGGAAGAAGATGAAGAAGAAAATGATTTGGGTGAATTGATTGAGTTCTCACTCAATTCGAGGAAAGGACTAACTAAATCAAAAATAACGGAAATTAAGGGGTTGATTTTAGAGAAGGCAGTGGTGGTCCTAATTGACAATGAAGCGACCTGCATTTTTATTTTAGCTCATCAGATTAAAAAAAGGGACTATTTGCTGGTAGGGGCAACTGGCTATGGAATTCCCTTGGATACGATTCTTGTGATAATTGCTTGCATGATTAAGCCCTCCCACTTCAAGGAGTTGAAACGTTCCCCTCTAGTGATGATAATGACTGGAGTGCTTGCAAGACAAATGGTTTGATTGCATGATGAATTGACCAAGACATCAACAACTATCCTCAAGGTGTATTTTGGAGCGACGGGTAATGATAGATCCCTATCTGGTTCACATAGATGTTGCCACAACATTTGTTATTCTAGAATGTTCATTAGTCGATTAGAGGAAAACTCTATAAATAAGATGGGGATGGGAATTAGATAGATATTCAGTGAATTCTGTTTAGAAAAGTGGGGAGAGAACCAAGGCCTCTCGAATGCCTGGAAATTTGTCATTTACATCCTTGTCTCTCACTGCATAATAATTGTTCTTACAATCTTCAATTCTATACATATATTCATTTCACCAATACACTTCTCAACTTCCTTTACATTCCAGCTAATACATCTACTATCTACTCAAACCATTAATCAGTAGCTTTATAGGTCCAGAATAGATTCATCAGCAACTTCCCAGGTAGATTCATCAGCAGCTTCCCAGGTTCCTATCAGCATTACGCATTTATTTGATTGACTTTGAGAGTCATCCAAAGAGACTCAACAATTAGATCATAGTTGTATACACTAGAAACTTGAGAACATTATTTAGATTTAGATTGAAAGAATTAAATCAAGTAAAGACAATTCTAGTATCTTGGTATAACAAATTCTCATCTTCTTCCACAAAAATCTTGTTTGTTGTGTGATCCATTATTTTCATATTGTTCTGAAGACAACTATCATGCCATTTTTCATAATGAAATCCCAAATATGTTTGTCCCGTAGATAAATCTGGTTCAGTGACATCAGATGGACTCTCCACATTCTCCCCAGTATAAAGCATAGGCTTGACTTCCACCAAAGCTCAGTTCACCGAAACAATGATAATCGGTGAAAGAAATAGTATTAAATGAAAATTTAAAGGTTCTGTCTTGTTCTTCTTCAGAAAATTGAGTTTAATAGACTATGGACGTAATATAAGCTAAATTATGTATATTTATAAATACGAGAAAAATGAAATCTTATCAATTTCGGGGAGACTAGTAATTAGTTCAGGTCTTGAGACCTTTTCTTTGTACAAAAATGTACATCGAAATTTGTATGAATGGATAACTTTATGCTGCATTGGTAAATCTAAAGCAGGTCACCTTTCTGGCAGATCAGGAACAAGAACATATAAAATGACAGGATGAAGAACTTCAGACATGTTTGATCTGCTTCCACCATCTAAGCATAACTTCATTTTTGTAGCTACATCCTTCTGATGTTCAATAGAAATTCTTTCTGATGAATTCAAAGACTCCGAACAGTAAATGACCAGTAGAAGAGCACGTGTAGATATCGAAGAGTTGAAGCAATTTGCCACAGCTTCACTGTTCTCTAGTGCTTGTTGAAGCTCAAAGGCAGGACCTCCATTAAAGAGCAACATTGTTGGTGGGTCAACTCCCAACTGGCCAGCCATATATAGAACATTCTTGTGCAAAGTTGCCTGGAACAAGTAAATAAATAAATTGAAAGAAAATTGCTAGAGAGAGTTTCTCGAAAAGCATTTCTTTTTTAACGAAAAATGCAGGCACAACATGAGTTTCATATTAACAATACGGCAAGCGTGTTAATCTGATATGAGATAAAGCCTCAAATTCAAAATATCAAGCCATTGAAAACCAGAATTCTCCTTGATGACCTTAAATCATTCAGATAAGTATGCTATAAGGTTCAGATCTAGGTATGGAAGCAAAAACTATACACGTGCACACAAAGAGACATTGAAATTGAGAGGCTTAAGGGAGACTAAGACTCATTAACACTAACTTTAGGTCCTAATTATTAAGCTATCTAATATTTATCTATATAGACTCAAGTCACATTTTTTACTAAGTTAGAATAGTAGACTGCTAATTGATTGAATAAATAGGCAAAATGAGGATCGAAGACCAATCTAAGACAAAATCAATTCCACTATTAGTAATAAATAACGAAGCGGCTTGCAAAGCAATTGCTACTGTGAGCTTAAGGAGACTTAGAACTCATTAGCACTACCTATGGATCTTAATAGGTTACGAGCTACGTTACTTGGACTCAAGTATGGGTGTCAAATATAGGTATATATCTAGGAATTGGATCCCCTTTTTTCTTAATCGTAGGATACAGAGATATGGCTAAAGTGGATTCAAAATTTGGGCACGTGTACGTGTATGTATTACAAACCTAAGAACTTCTTAGAATATTACATACTAATAATTTTAGATGCATTGTTTAGGGAGTGTAGCATTAAATGGGGTTGGCCTCAAAATAAATTTTATTGCTTTAAAAATTAGGGACTCGCTCTTTTTCTCCTAGAAACTTCTGCTTCCTCCCATGGAGATCTCCCTTCCATATTTTTGCCGTTTCCACTTCTAATTTGAAGGATCTGACACGGGATCCATACCCATACCAATATCATGATTGTGTCGAGATGGGTACATAGTCCAAACTGAAGAGCCCAAGCATCATAAGTTACGAGTCTAATACTCATCTTGAGATGCTCTAGTCACATGCACGATATATTATTCTTTGATCCCTTGAAATGGGCATAAAATGGATTCAATACTACCTTAATCAAAGAAAATCAATGCCACCACTTATAATACGTAACAAGGAGACTTACAAACATCTACAGTGAAATAAAAAGTTTAACAATACAGAATAGAAAAAAAGTAGCTAGTTAATAAAAAGTAGCACAGGTGGTGAACTGAAGCCTCATATCATGTGATAAGGAGAAAAAAATATCAGCAACCAATTTTCACTTTGGAAAGTATCTAACCTGGCTGTATGGACCAATACAACTAGGAGCGCAACATGAAATACTTTGTACGTGCAAGACATTTTTAGTCTTATCATCTGATACTAAGACTTCAAAATATGCCTTCCCAAAACCAATTTGCGAAAGAGGAAGTTCAATTGTAGAACGTGATGGTACACCAGAACGACATTTCTCTTGAGTAATAAATTTCACGTATGTTTCATTCGCCGCAGAAAAATCATTCATGTTGGCAACATATAAATGAATATAAAGAACACTCTCCCAAGAGCAATTGTATCCGACAAGGAGCAATTCAATTTTCATCAGAATTGCTACCAGATCCTCCTGCAACTCTGTCAAATTAGAGTACCTCATAAGAGCAGATATCAACTAGAATTTTTTTTAAGAACCAAAAAAAAAAAAAAAAGGAAAAAAAGGAAAAATTTGAATTATGAAAGAGGGTTTGTTAGAGTTCATTATTGCCACCAAATTTCCCTTCCATTGTGACTAATATTATACCTCCTGATGTTCTACAGGCATCGTGCAGCCAGCAAGAGATGGAAAAGATGTCATCCTTCTTGGATTTGGAGGTGTGGAATCTTTGATTTATTTCTAGTGTTAAATTAGAAATCAAACCAACTTCCTGGATTGGAGTGTCACCAAAATCTTTCCAGTCCTCCAGCACTTCACATACTGAATCGATTTCCCCAACAGTGACCTCATTACTACCATCAATGTCACTTGGAGACACAGACTCGAGCTTTTTCTCCAAATGGAATTCCATGGGATGAAGGACCCCAACAGGAGCTATGTGATCTGATGAATGTAAAACAACTTGAAATTTATCTAGCACAATTCGAGCATCCTGCAAAAGATCAATATGTTAGAATTTTGAGAGGAAGTAAAGGGGGATTAGAGTAAAATAGAGCGAAATTTAATAAAAGTTTAGCTAGATATTCCAAATGAAAGCATCAGTAGCAGTTAAGGTGAACACAATCTATACATATATTGCCTTCCCCATGCCATGCCTCAAGAGAAAGAAGAAAAACAAATAATAGTAGAAAGTGCAAAGATTGAAATGTCTGGATTAAGAAGAAATATAAATTGAAAAGGGATGCTTACTTTAACGAGGGGACAGTCAAGAGTTAACGTTTCATATTCACCCTCTTCACCACACACATTTACTCCATACAACCTGTCAGTATATCGATAATATAACTATCAACTGCTTAGAAACTAAAATATATTTGAGCCAGTCAGTTTAACACACTCTTTTAGCTCATGAAGATGGGACTCCAAGTGCTCTATTTCTTTCCCCGAGAGTTTTGAAGGGTCCAACCCAATTGATGCAACCTTTGACAAAAGAGAAGGCAAGAAATTAGATACACATTAAGACTAACACAAAAAGAACAATTTTTACTTTTTCGCTCAAGAAGTGCACATATCTACTTTCAGTTAAACAAAACAGTTGCAGGTCAATCGACAAAGAGAACTGAAATAAATAAATGCAAAACTATATGCTGAGAAAATTGTTTCTATGATGAGGCAGCATTATAATTTAGAAAGTAAATGTGCAAATGTTATATATCATATAGAATCTGAATAAAGAATAGTAGAGAACAAGTAAGATTAAATCACATAAAAAAAAAAAAAAAAAAAAAAAAAAAAAAAACGGAGGAAAAACCTCCCCATTGTTCTGCAAGCCTCGACACAAAATTAACCTACCAAATCTTTAAAATAATTTTTTTATTCACGTATCAATTTTTGGAAACATAAGAAATCTAAATAATATTTTTGTTCTTGCTTTCAGACTCTTCAAGTGTTATTTAACATTATTAACAAAATCGTAATAAATAACATTCAAACAAATCAATTTGGGTTGTGAACAGTGGAATGTAGCATTCCTTAGGACAAAGAAAGTAAGACAGGATTTAGAAGTGTATTATACCTTTACTATGATGGCAACAATCCCACTGCTCACCTGAAATAACAATACAGTGCAAAAAATTAGTATTGAAATTTCAATATTACAGAATTATCACTATGATTGGTAAGAAGAAATTTACCATTTGTTGAAGGAGAAACAGTCCACAGATATGCCAAAGAAACAAGCCCTAACCTTGAATATACACTTTCCACACGAAGTCTTTGATAGTCAGATGCAATTGCACCAGACGAGATTGCTGAAACAGAGGGTATCCGTTTTTTAACTTCGCTTAAGAGGATAAACATATCTTCAACTTCATCACCAGGTGTCATGCTGTATCAAAGGCCCTGATGCCTGTGAAGCCCAAAACAATAGATTGGAAAGTCAAGGCCCGTAGAAGGCTATAAACGAGAACCACCACTCAACCTCTTTTAAAATATTGCGTACCTAACCTTTATTTCTAACTATTTCCTAACCACTTCCCCCTACAGCAGCATTCTGTTTTCCCTTCCATCCATCTGTTACAACATCCTCCTTCCTTGGCTTCTAGAATATGTGAACCGGATAGGGGGCTTATCATTACCCCCAGTTTCCAAAACCACCTTGTCCCCAAGGAGAAAATGAGGAAAGTGTTGAATGGTAGATGCAGCAGACTCCCAAGAAGGTTCAGAAACCGGCAGACCCTTCCTTTGATCAGTAATTCATTTCTTGGTGGTGCTGTTGTAGCTGTTTGGAGTACCTCCAGAACATGTTCAGGTTCAACCACCCATTCCAGCGTAGCATCCATGTGTGCTGGTAGCTGCAGACGAGTGTCTGTCCTTCCTAGTGCCTTTTTAAGTTGCGACACATGAAAGACTGGAAGTATGGTAACATCAGAGGGCAGCTCTGCGCGGTAGAAACCGGCCCTATTCGGGTGATTATTTTGAAGGGACCAAAAAACCTGGGACCCAACTTCTCATTTGGTTTCTTTGCCAAGGAGCGTAGACGATAGGGTTGTAGCATTACATAAACTAAGTCCCCTTCCATGAACTGAACCTCTCCAATATTGGTCTGCCTCCACCTTCATCTTTGCTTGAGCCTGTAGGTGTGCCTTTAATTCCTCTATTATGATGTCCCTCTCCTTTAGCTGCTGCTCAACTGAGGCTACTGCAATCTTTTGATTGCCATAACAGACCAGTGGAGGAGGGTCTCTCCCAAATACTGTTCGAAAAGTAGTGTTTGTGAAAGCGTGAAAGGGGGTATTATACCAATATTTGGCCCAAGGCAGCCAACAGCATCAATTTCGAGGTTTATCTTGCGTGAAACATCTCAGATACGTTTCCACACATCTGTTGACAACCCATGTCTGACTGTCCGTTTGGGGGTGATGGGCTGTGCAGAGTCGTAGAAACGTGCCCTGTAATCTGAATAATTCTGCCCAGAAGCAGCTCAAAAATTCCTAACCACGATCAGATACGATGGAGCGTGGGATGCCATGGAGTTTCACCACTTCTTTAACAAAAACTGCTGCAACTCCCGCTGCTGTGAATGGGTTCTTGAGGGGTAGGAAATGGCCGTACTTAGACAATCAACAATAAATCATATCCCTCTGATTTAGGTAACCTTTCTATGAAGTCCATTGAAATATCTTCCCACACTAGACAAGGAATGGGAAGGGGTTGAAGGAGACCCACGAGAGATTGCGACAACTCTAGTTCTGTATACATACAGGGCATTCGTCCACAAATTTCTTGATGTCTTTTTTTCATACCACACCAATACAGATCACTAGTTAGCCGCTTGTAAGTCTGAAGAAAACTTGAATGCCCCCACTAAACTACAGTGAAACTCGTGAAGCAAAGTTGGAATCAAAGTCGATGAACTGGACAGAACTAGGCACCTCTTGTACAGTAACCAATCTTGGTCCAACGAATAATGCGGATGTGAGTCCGGGTTATTTTGAAGTTCTTCCTTAATTTTTGCCAGCTTTGGGTCTACCTCAGTTTGTTCCAATATCAACCGTACGTCAACCACCATTGGAAAAGTGATAGCTGCCAACTCAATTTGAGAAGGAACCGAGATAAGGCTTCTGCTGCCTTGTTTTCCATGCAAGGAAGATATTGAATCTCAAATTCATAGCCCATCACTTGGTCACGCAACGTTGAAATTGCCCTAGCAACACCCGCTGTTCCAACATGTATTTGAGGCTGCATTGGTTAGTCTTCACTATAAATCAGTGCCCAAACACGTAATGTCTCCATTTTTGTATAGCTAACACCATTGCCATCAATTCCCTTTCACACACTGATTTCTGCTAAGACTTGAGCGACAAAACTTGATTAAAATAAGCAATTAGCTACTGATTCTGCATCAACACCACTCCGGGACCATATCCCGTCAGTTTCGATCACAAAGTCCTTCGTAAAGTCAGACGGAGCTAAAATAAGTACTATATACGTGCCTTCCTAGTGTTTCTAGAATGCTTCCTCTGCCTCAAACGTCCACCCAAAGCATCCGTCTTAAACTGCTGTGTACGAGATCAAGAGATCGCCCTATAACCAGAGACAAAAGGCGGATAATATCCTATTAATCCCAAAAAACTCCGGAGTTCCCTAAGTGTCCATGGTGTCGGCCATCGCACCATTGCCACTATCTTCCTAGGGTCAACGGCTACTCGCACTAAATGGCATAATTAGTCTTTCTTTAGTTGTGCGAATAAGCACTTCTTGACATTTGCATATAGCTGATGTAATTCCAATGCGTTAAACGCCATCTCCAAGTGTTGTACATGTGAATTAATGTCCTTACTACAAACCAAGTTGTCGTCGAAGAATACTAATACAAACTTCCGTAAATACCCTAAATAACTAATTCGCAGGCGCGTTGGTGAGGCCAAATGACATGACCAGAAATTTGTAGTGCCCTCGTGAGATATAACTACCATTTTAGAAAGTCCTCTTTGCGTACTCTAATTTGGTGATACCTTGACTTCAAATCTAGTTTAGAAAATATGGTGGCTCCATGAAGCTCATCCAACAATTCATCAATCACCGGAATAGGAAATCCATCCGAAATGGTAACTTTGTTAAGGGCTCAATAATCAACACAGAAATGCCAACTCTCGTCTTTCTTCTTGACAAGTAATACTGGACTCAAGAATGGACTGATGCTCGATTGAATTATACCTACTGCTGGCATTTCTTGCACCAGCCTCTCACTATGATACTCGGACTCGGGTGCGGGTGTCGGATACGTTTCTAGGAGTCGGATCCTTCTCATTTTAAAAATTAAGATATGAGGACACAATTAAAAAGGATCTGAATTTTGAATACGGGTACAGGGATACGTCTCACAAAATATTTTTCTTTTTTTTAAATGATAGAAAAATACCAAAATAACAAAGAGAAAAATGGTTAATTAAAGCAAATAAGCACAATATTAAAGCAAAATAGTAAATTACCACAATAAAAATGTTTTATATAATGATAAAATCCAAATTCAAATTCAAACAAAACACGATTCAAGAAAAGATGAATCTATCGTTTATGTAAGGAATAATTTTTCGGTGCAATTTTTGAAAATGGGAAGCTAAAACGTTTATTACAATTTCGAGAGTAAATTAGAAAAAAGACTTTTGCTTTCCAATTTTGAAAAAGGAAATTAATTCCAATTGATTCAAGGACCATTTATTCACCAATTTTGAAAATGGAAACTAAAACGTTATTAGAATTTTGCTTGATTCCTGGACCATTTAATCATCGAAATTTTGCTTCCCAATTAGAATTATTAATGCTTGAATTCTTAATGTTTGAAACTTTGAAACCACCAAATTTCCTAATTTCATTAACTCTATTCTTTAGGCTTCACAAAAGCCCTTTTAATTCTTTCTCTAAAACCTATTGTCTTCTCCAACTTTTCATCTTCTGCTTCGTCTTTCCCTTCTTCAGCAAATTTCTACAAATGTTGCTCCCTGCCGTGATCCCCTCCATAAATTTCTCCATATTACTATCACAATACTCAAAATGAATAAGTTTGTAGCTGCTACAAATGCAAGCCAGAAGCATCCCTTGTCTGAGTGCACAACCACATACTCCACCGTCCGTCGCCTTCGCCTCTTTGCTGCCATGTCCGATTGCACAACCAATGATATGATCCGTATTCCGTGTCAGTATTCGTGTAATGTCGTGTCAACACGGATACTTCTCCATTTTTTAAGAGTCCGAGCATCATAGGCCTCTCAGTCTTATTCCTTGGAATGTGTGGGTTTCGGTAGGGCCTGACATTTTTTGGCTCTACTCCTTTAAGCATAATCAAATGATCAGTGCTTCATTTTGGAAATAACCTCTACCGTTCTACAAATATCTGTGCAAAATGTTGCAGTAACTGCTTGACAATAGCTGGTGGATCCTCCTCTTTTTCCTTAGACTCTGCGATTGCAGGTATAATTTCCCAAATTCCTTGGCCCTCGTTCTGTAACGCCTTCATCATGGCTGATAAAGTGCATAAGAGATTAGAGTTTATGATGAAATGGGACCGTCGCAAGGCAAAATAATGGTTTTTGATTTCATGATAACTTCGAGTTTTTTCCTTTTTGGTGAATTGCTAGTATAATTTGATTGGAATCGAGCCAATAAATAAAACTCAGGCCTTTGGCCGTGACGCAAGGCCAATTTTGGGCAAAATCCATCATTTAGGCCCTCGCTTAGGCATTTTTGCTATTTATGGTAATTTTTGTTTTTGCAATATCTCTTTCCATAAAATTCAAATTTGTATTCCGTTTGTTGGAGGATGATCCTAAAGATAAGGATTTTCCATCTTAGTAATTATCTCATATTTTTTTATTTTTGGAAAAATATCTTTTTTATTCTATTTTTCGAATTTTGCTAGGTTTTTTCTATTTAAGGCGTTGTAAACCCTTTGAAGCAGCAGTTCTCGAATTCAATAAAAATTTTCTTGAGAGTTTTCTCATTTTGTGATTGTTCATTTTCCCTATAATCTTTCGCACGTCAATGGCTCTTAGTGATACCTCGACCTGTTAAGTCCCGGATCCCCTTCAGGATAATCATAGTTTTCCCCATTCGAAACCCCATGGTGAGTAGTCTCCAATTCACTTCCATGCTACCCGACTACACAGCCATTGCATGCCCAATACCATATTTATATCGCCTAACCCTGGAGGCAAAAAATCCTCTACTATTTTCAACCGTTGCATCTCCAAAATGACTCCCCTACAGATGCCCTTCCCTTTTACAGACCCCGTGACCACTCTATATTCATAGTGATTGTAATCGAAAGGTCTAGTTGCTTTACTAACTCCAACGAGATAAAGTTATGTGTAACCCCACAATCAATTAAGATGGTTGCCTCCTTCCATCTTACCATCCCCTTTATCTTCATAGTACCCGAATTCGTCAATCCCACCACAAAATTTAATAATAGCTCCACTTTCTCCGCTACCTCTATTGGGTTTTTATCCTTCAGCAGTTCTTCCTCATAGTCCAACATCTCTTCTTCCTGAACTAACAGTATTCTCAACTCTCCATTTTTTCATTGATGACCCACTGTATCCTTCTCATCGCAACGAAAACAGAGCCACTTTTCACGTCGCAGTTGCCACTCTGCATTTGACGTCATCTTCGTAGTGTGTTCCTGCCATAGGCCAACGAATTTCTCACCTACCATCACTGTTCGTATTGGAAACTCTTATGGTTTCTTCCCCATCAATCGATTTGGGCTTGTAGCCACTTGCATAATTTTCTGGGTCGGTTTCTATTTCTACCTTTTGGGTCACTTCCATAAGTTGGCCTAAACCAATTTGGCTTAATAGCTTGACTTCAGCCTTGATGTCTAGCCTCAGCACATTGATGAATCTTCCATCATTCCTATCATTGGTGCAACCAACACCTCAAAAGTTCACTTGAAGTCAAACATTGAGCCTTCCTTTTTCACAGCGAAAAAATTTTTGTAGAGGCTTCCTTCTTGCGTCGACCAAAATCGTAACAATAACTGGTTTTGAAATTGCCCCCAGCTATGAAAGGAGTTCCGGCCTCCGTCCATTGCAGCTATGATAAGGCATCACCGTCCAAACTCTCCCCAATCGCACCTAACTTTTCCTTCTCCGTCAACCTATTGACTTCAAAATACCTCTCTATTTAGAACATCCAACCATCTGGGTTTTTGCCACTGAAAATTGGCATCTCCAACTTCCTAATCTTTCGCCAATCATTTTCATCTCAATTCGGTCCCATCTGGCCAATGTCACTACCAGAACTGGCCTCAATTAGCCCTTCAGACAACTTTCCCCGGCTAGGACTTGTTGGTCAGCCAAAGCGCACTTGTTGGAGCTAGTCCCTCCGTGATGCAGCCAGAGCTTCCTCCTTCAAAGTCCCTACTCACCCCTGACTTTAGAATAGCTAGTGCTAGTGCTAGTGCTACCACAGCCTTCTGGGTCCCTTCCAGGGATTGCAGATTCCAGCCACATTTTGTGCGAGGTGTTCCATCGATTTCTCCAGACCTGGTAACCTCTGAAGTTCTCAGTTTTCTTTTGAGCCATTGGGATCTACTGCTCTGATACCAATTTGTTAAGATTCAAATTGAAAATAGGATGAACGAGGTAATGAGATAAAAACTTTTGATTACTTAAATAAGAGAATTACAGAAATCAGATAAAAAAGCCTGTAGAAGGCTATAAATGAGAAATACCACTCAACTACTTTCTAAAATATTGCCTACCTTTCCCACTCTTTCTACCCTTATTTATAACCCTCTATTTCTAACTATTTCCTAACCACTTCCGCCTCCAACAGCATTCTATTTTCCCTTCCCTCCATCTGTCACGCCCTCCTTCTTGGGCCTTCTAGAATATGTGAACCGTATAGGAGCTTATCATGTTCATTCCTGTGACTTTTGTTTATACACCATAATGTCTTCGGTTACCAGTCAATACATTTTAATATCGATAACTCTAGGAAAGAGTACAACTAATATTTTTGTTCAAGCCATCCATTAAATTAAAGCATGTTTGGGAAGTGTTTATAAATAACTTAAATTATACATAAAGAGTAATGAGTGGTGGATAAGTGGATAATACTTGTGAGTTCGTCGAAATGTGTTTAAAAAGTGGCTTGAGAGTTTGTAAACATGAGTCAAACATAGACTTAATGCTAAAAAGCTTGGACTATCTGGCCACATGCACCCAAATGAAAAGGACAGGCACTTCCATTCAAAACATAGGATATGCTGCACCTAGAACGCACTATTAAAATAAAACTTGTATATCCATGCATCTAATGTCCAGGTAAAAGCAAGTTATTTACCCTTTTCGAGTTACAATGATATCGTACACGATATTTTAATTATGATGAGCAAACTTCAAGATTGATCTGAAGCAGTGTCCTTTTAAGAATTTAACATGCATCAGGAGGTGTCAAACACTCAGAGTTCAACATTTTTCATAATTATTATAGAGTCAAGTACTCAAAGATTGTTGGACATGTTTCGTTGGGGTTTTCGAAAAATGTCACTGTTTTCACAGGCTGTATGGCCTCCTCAAATTGGCTTTGCTTCTCAGGTTAACAGTTTCTCATGTGCAGAAAGTTTATAATTCGGTGCAGAAAATAACACAAAATAAAGATGAGGTTAAACTTGTAACTCCAATACTAGTCACCTATGACATTTAGTACTGAAAACAACTTAAAGATAAAAAAATTTCCTCTAAATATAACACCCTAGAAAAACATATTCAAAAGCTAAATGGCAAAGACACAAGAAGCCATCTATCATCATCTCCTCTTTTAAAATTGCTTAGTCAATGTAATTAAAGTGTTCAAGTTATATTACTCATAAATGTATTATGGCTTTCCCATTGTTAAAAATAGATAATGGATTATACCAAAAGCTTACTGATTAAAGGGCTTGCCTGCTAGATCCTTGAATTCGTTTCCGGAATAATGGAATTCCCATACATTTTGCATAGCTAATAACTATTTGGCGTCCTACCTGCAAAAGATATTCAAAAATCCCAACTAATTAGTACATAAAAATATAAGATGAATGTACACAGTACACCCTCAGTCTATAAACCGAAACAGTTATCCAAAGCCAAAACCTCAGCTTCAATGCTAGTTAAACATAAACCCCAAGAACCAATCAATAATTTTCCAGTAATTCATATTCAAAAAATATAAAATATAAAAATATCATCTATGGAATCATTTTTATTTTTTAGTTTTGGGTCTAAATATTCTATAAAAAAGTCTTTCAGATCTTCTTCCAAATAGGTTAATTCATTTTTTGTAGCATTTTTTAAGTCAATAAAATTTTGTATAATATTTGGATCTAAATTTATTAAAGATTTATGATCTATATTTTCTTGAGGACCTATTTGAAGGTTTTTAGACATTGTAGTGGCTTTGGTTGCAATATCTCTATTAAGGGTATTTTTGGAAAATTGATTGTTTGGAGACTAGTTTTCAAATGTTTTTATTTTCGTAGATTAATTTGGAAAATCCTCCTTCTATTTAGGCTATTAAACTGTATTTCCCCTAGTAGGGAATCCCTTTTCTTTTTCTTTTTTTTTTCCTAAGATTGAAAAATATGTAATTAAAAAATAAACAAAATTTTTGAATATAATAATATTTTATTGAAATGGGTAATTGAAAAGAAGAAAAATAAAAATGTATTTTGAAAATAATGAGATTAGATAAGAGCTTAAATTACTAAGAAAGTATTTGGTGGGTATTAAAATTATATTTTTTAGTAGATTGTAATAGAAATTTTTGAAATGTGTTTTTAAAATGTTATGGACTCATGTGATTAATATTGATTGTTTGATTTTAATTTATATAAAAAAAAATTTAATTTATACCAAACGGGCTCTAAGATCGCACCATTATCTATTTTTAAATAATAGAGGAATTTTTGTCCAAAGAGAAAAATATGCCTTTCTGAACAAGATTCAACCATGTTGTCTCCATTTTGTTTTTCAAAATTTTAATTTGATCTCATCATTTAATACAATAACCCAAAAGGCAAGATTTGTCAACTGAACCCTTGTTTGAGCTCCATTCTTTGGAAAAAATGAATTTTTCAAAAATGTTTTAACATCATTTCAATAACACTTTTTTAATAAGATAATGTTACATGCAAATTCAAAAAAATTTCTTATTTTTTTACTACATGTTTTCCATCAATACACTATTCAAAAATTCATTCTTTCCCCAAAATGGGACTCAAACAATGGCTAAAGCTTTCCTAAGGTATGTTTACAGAGATTCACTTATGACTTATGGTTATAGAAGCAATCGTGTTATGTGTACATTTCTGTTGACATGGGGCATTACAGAGTGACGTGGTAAATTCAAAATCTTTAAAAGCTAAAATAAAAGGAAAATCAAAAAATGACAGAAAAGGCGTCAAGTTAATATATTGAAAATCGGCCCATTTTTCATTTGTAAAACCTAATTGGCATTGAAGCTGCTTACCCCAAAATCGCCGATCACCGATGCCTTGTTGTGGCGATGCATCTATTCATCGAGAATTCAGCTTTATCTCCAGCTCTGGCGATGCATCTATTCATCGAGAATTCAGCTTTATCTCCAGCTCTGGCGATGCATCTATACATCAACCAAGTGCTGCTTTACCTCCATCTCTGATGACTTCTACTTAGGTAGAATCTACAAAGATATTTGTGTAAGTTCTGTGTTTTGGTAAATTGGGTGTGTGAATGTGGTTTGGAGGGCTTGAAGCCTTTAGTACGATTAGCTTCCGTCATTAGATGGTAAGTCTTTGACCCCATCCTGCTATGCCTTATTGAGAAATTGGCACTAGAACAGGCAACGCGATTTATGTGGTCAATATCATGCAAATTAGAAGGTAAATGTCTTGTGTATTTAAAGCAAACGTCTTCATAAATGTTAGAGATCAACAAGTTTAAAAACATAGGAGTTCTCTAAGACTTCCAAAACACTATAACTTTGAAATTAATTGGATGTTACTGAGAAAATTTGTTGTGAGACAATATGTAACATTTACAATTTTGTTGTTTGCACATTACCTCTTACACAAACCTGTGGAGCTATTAATTCGCACAACTCAATACATAGTGTTGTTTACATATTAATGTGGTTGGTTCACATCTCAGAATGGCATGAAGAAATCACAAAGTGTGTCACAGCTACAAGTGTAAGGGCCACTTCTTTGTCGATTACCCAAAGAAACGATTATGCCCGTGGTGCAAGCGTGCATTCATGAAGTGTTTTGAGGTGGAAAAAGATACTAAGAACAAAGGTCAGTTGTTCAACAGCAGCGACGCTAAATGTGGATTCTGGGAATAGGCTGGAGAAGGTGAATCAAGTGATGAGACATCAACTGCTGTTGCAATGACAGAATCAGCTATAGATGTCACTGGCATGTTCAAATCAAAACTTTTTTTAAGCGACGAACAAGAGATAAAATTTTCTGTGAACGTGACAATTCGCAAGAACAAAGCAAGTGCGGAAGTCGAT